CTTCTAACCTAGAAAATCATGCAGCATCACATTTACTGCATGCTAATGATTGAGGCAAATGATCTATTCAGGTTCAAGAGGAAAGAACATATACATACCCTAACTCCCAATGGAGGAGTGTCAGTATTTTATAAGAGCATCATGTGAGATGGGACATATACTGGTATTTGTTTTGAAAATACAGTGGCACAGTGGGTGTTTTCAGGTGGGTGAGCAGGTTGTTGCTGGGTGTTGGAACACAAGTAAAATGAAGAGGATGTCCGCGTGGGGGGTAGCTAGCTTGTAATGTTAGTACCAGAATGGACAGAAGAAGGCTACTGTGTTGGGAGTAGGCAGCCTCACACAGGGTGAGAGTCCAAGCAGGGTGAAGAAGGTGCCTGTATGAAAGTCAGGACTACACTGGGTGTCTGACTCTGAGCAGGGTGAAAAGAGCATCCAATGGGTGAAGGGTGCAGGAGGTAGTGACCCAGTACAGGTTGTTGAAACATCTGTGAAGTGAGAAGGATATTTTGTAGAGGTTAGGAGGCAGTGGAATTAGTAGGAAACTGGTTACATTCAGGGGGATATATGAAGTAAATGTATTAAGAATAATGGAACCCAGGTTTCTTTTTAAAAAAAAATTTTTTTTTAATGTTTTATTTATTTCTAGGAGAGAGAGAGAGACAGCGTGAGCAGGGGAGGGTCAGAGAGAGAGGGAGTCACAGACTGAAACAGGCTCCAGGCTCCGAGCTGGCAGTCAGCACAGAGCCCGACGCGGGGCTCGAACCCACGAACCGCGAGATCATGACCCAAGCGAAAGTCGGACGCTAAACCGACTAAGCCACCCAGGCGCCCCTGGAACCCAGGTTTCTTATTGTCAAATAAAGAAGCCACAAATATGAAAAAGGGAAAAAAAACTAGAATGAACTTTGTCATGTAAGAATGGAATAGGAGGAATATTTATATTCCCTAGTTCTGTCCATTGAAAGGGTCTGGATATCAGGGACAACTGAAAAACAATGGGCACACTTAACACCCAAATCTTTGTTTCTAAATGTTGCACTAAAAGGAACCAGGGGTCCTTAGGGAAGTGGCTAATTCCAGCACTGGGCCAAAGAAAGTACAAAATAAGCCTGGAGTATCTTAGGCCAGAAAGTAAGGAAGTGCTCTAACAAGGATGGAAGCATGGCAAAATGGAATAGAAGCCAGTATGAAGGGAGTTCTACTGGCTAAAGCTGGGATAATATGAACTTCAAAATAAATGATAATGATGTATTATAACTCACTGAATAAAATAGGAATCCATGAGTCTACACTGAAGTAAATAAATTCATAAACTGAAAGTTTGATGAGGAACAGGACAGTAGCTACATAATTTCAAAATTACCTCTCCACAAAATATTATATTATTATTATTATTTAATATTTATTTATTTTTGAGAGAGAGCGTGTGTAAGCAGGGAAGGGCAGACAGAGTGGGAGACAGAGGATCAGAGGCAGGCTCTGCAGGGCTCACACTCACTAACTGCAAGATCATCACCTGAGCCAAAGTCAGATGCTTAACCGACTGAGCCACCCAGGCGCCCCTTCCACAAAATACTTTTAAACAAAGGGAAAAAAGGTGTAAGACAACACCTTAATTAAGTGATCAAAGTGAACATCATCAATAATGGGACAAATGGAACCATGTGCCACCAAATAGGAGGCAATGAGGAAAACAAGCTCATATCTGTGATATCACAAATTGAGGAACTATGCCAGATGGAGACAGAGAGACATAACAATGTTAAATTTTGTTATAAAGGATATTACTGGGATAACCAGTGAAATTTTAATGGAGTCTAGAAATTAGATGGTAGCAATATATCAGTGTTAGTTTCCAGAATTTGATGGTTATGCTCTGGTCACGTAGTTGTCTCCTTGTTTGAAGGAAAAATACACAAAAATATTTGGTACAGGGCTATCATGTCAGTAACTTACTCTCAAATTGTTCATGAAAAATAGTTCTTTGTGCTGTACTTGTAACTTTCCTGTAAATGTGAGGTTGTTTCAAGTTTTTAAGAAAAGACTAGCATTTACAACTTTGATCTTAAAACTTAGAGGTCATTAATTAAGACACAACCTTAAAAACAGAATAAGGGACTTCATAGGAATTACCTACTCTGACATACATGTGATACCTGCAATGAAATGTTTGTGTAATATAAGGAAAATATCAACATTATTTATATACTAACTAGAAACATTGAAAAAGCATAATCATAAAAATAAATGTCAATGATAAATGTATTCTTCAAAAAATTAAAAGTTTTCATATGACCCAGCAATTCCACTCCTAGTGTATACCTAAGAATATTCAAAAACATACATCTACAGAAAAACCTACACAAAAATATTCATAGTAGCATTATTCCAAATAGCTCAAAAAAACTCAAAATAACCTAAATGTCCATCAACTGATAAACAGATGAAGATTTGGTATTTTTGGAATTATATTCATCAATAAAAAAGAAGTACTGGCACATGCTAAAACATGGAGAAATCCTGAAAATAGGTGAAATAAGCCAGAAACAAAGGTCACATATTGTATGATTCATTTATATGAAATGTCAGAATAGGCAAATCCATACAGACAGAAACCAGATTGGTAGTTCTCAGGAGGCTGGGGGACTAGAGGGTTGGAGAGGGACAGCTAATGCATATGGGACTTCTTTTGGGTGTGATAAAAATGTCTTGAAATCAGACATAGTGATGGGTTGCACAACTTTGTGAATATACTAAAAACTACTTAACTCTTCACTTTAAAAAAGTGAATTCTGTTATGTGAATATCACAGTAAAAAATAATAATAATAAATCCAGTGAAAGTTTAACCTAGTATTAAATAAGTGAGAAATCTGTTAAAACATATAAATAAAATGTTAGAAGTTTTAAAAACATGATAAAGAATATAAATTTTTGCCAGAAGCCAATATTATTCTACAACTTGGTTTCCTTAAAAAATAGGCACTGTACATCTACATACCATCAATAAATATATTAAAAGTGTAATTTTTAGGGGCGCCTGGGTGGCTCAGTCAGTTTAAGCATCCAACTTCGGCTCAGGTCATGATCTCACAGTTTGTGGGTTTGAGCCTGGCATCGGGCTCTGTGCTGACAGCTCAGAGCCTGGAGCCTGCTTCAGATTCTGTGTCTCTCTCTCTTTCTGCCTCTCCCCCATTTGTGCGCGTTCTCTCTCTATCTCTTACTCAAAGATAAATAAATGTTAAAAACATTTTTTAAATTTTTAATGTAATTTTTATATTATATCATATAAGGTACCTAGGAATAAATAGGTCAACAAATGGACCTTTATGGATAAAATTATAATATGTTAAAATATATCTTAAAAATTAATAGTAAAAGATTTAGGGGGCACCTGGCTGGCTCAGTTGGAAGAGCATAAGACTCTTGATTTTGGGGTCAAGCCCTGTGTTGCATGTAGAGATTACTTAAATAAATAAGCTTTAAAAAATGAAAAGATTTATATATCAAATTCATGAATAGAAGAACTCAATATCATTAAGATGGCAATCCTCCCCAAACTGACCTATGCAATTTAACAAACAGATTCTAACATACATGTAAAGGATTAACTAAGAGAATTATGAACAATTACTATGCAGTAAGAATTCCCTACTGGGTATTATGAATTATAAATAAATAGGTCAGTCTCATCTCAACACCCATTAAATATTGACTGAATAACATTTTGGGTAGATGTCTTTTTTCTAATATATGTATAAGCAAAAACATATGTAAATTCATATTAGAACTACACTATACACACTATTTTTAATCTGGTTTTTTTATTTAACAATATATCACATCATTTTCCCAGTCTATAATAGCTTAATAATCAACTTCCAAAAACAATTTAAACAAGGTAACATTAGTGATGGGGAAACACATTAGTGGACTGCACACAGCAAAAAGAGTAGATCCAGGGCCCAGATCCATACTAACCTGCAACTGTTTAAGTCAAACACTAAGTATCTAAAAGGATTATTATAAAGCTATAGTTTAAATAAAACTAGTTGTGTGAGTTTATGACAGAAGAGACCCTTTCATATTTTAAAACTCAATCTATAACAGAGGTAGCTTAGCAGATCAACAATTCTACAGGAAATGATACCACTTTCTATGGAAGAGGTGAAAAAGTGTGTGCATTTTTTTAGTGTTTATTTTTGAGAGAGAAAGCACAGGTGGGGTAAGGGCAAAGAGAAAGGGGTACAGAGGATCCAAAGCAGGGTCTGTGCTGACAGCAAAGAGCCCGATATGGGGCTCAAACTCAGGAACCGTGAGATCATGACCTGAGCCAAAGTCAAGACGCTCAACCAACTGAGCCATCCAGGTGCTCCATATGTGTGCATTTTTAATAATCACAATGACTAGGGGGTGCTACAGGTATTTAATATGAAGGGATTATGAATACTAAACATCTCACTACACATAAGACATTTCTGTACAACAGCCACAACCAAAATGCCAAAGATGCCCTTGCTCAGAAATCCTGAACTAGTCAGTAAATAGGCTAAAAAAAATTCATTATACATGGAAAAATGCCACAATATACATACTATTTTTAATCTGCATTTTCCATTTAACAATATATCATAATCATTTGCCTAGTCTATAATAGCTTAATAATCAACTTCCAAGAGCAATTTAAACAACAAGGTAACATTAGTGATGAGAGACACATTAGTGGATTGCACACAGCAAAAGGAGTGGATCCAATGGCCCAGATCTATACTAATATGCAACTGTTTAAGTCAAACACTAAGTATCTAAAAGCATTAACCACTGTATCCATAAAAGCAAAGCAAATACTGAAAAAGAGTAAAAACTAATGAGAAATATTAAAATGTAAAGAATCCACAAAGGAAAGTGAAGGTATGAAATATACTGACAAAACTGATAAATCCTAACTCCCAGAATAGTCTGCAAAGCACACCATCAGACCAATAACATACAACTCACACCATATCCCCAGGAGAAGTCCGAGCTGCCTTCAGTGGAGATCCCTGTGCCTGTATAACTTGGAAAAGCAGATCTTGAATTCCCAGTGTCAGTTGATGTAAAAGGTGATTCTTGTGTGATGTCAGACTCACTAAATGCACAATTTGGAAGGAAGAGGGAAAAAAGAGAAATTGTTATATTTCAAGTTTCTGCAGCATTAAGTATTCAGCAATTTACTAGGTGATGAGCATATACACAAATATATCTTACAGGAGCAAAAATAAATGAAGAACTTGACAATTAAGCCTCATGGAAAAGTCCTACATAATTCCTGCAGAATTAATGACAGTGCTTCTAAATAATTCTAGCCATAGTTTACAATAACTATTTTAACATTCTACTTATAACATCTACCCTTGAAAACTAAACATTTCAGAAATATGAAAGTAATATCTGAACTTTTACAGTTTACCAGGCACTTTTATAGATATAATCCCATTTATTCCTCATAACAACCTGGTGATATAGAAGTCAACCCTACCTTAAAGACAATCTATTCAGTTCTAGGTTTTGAAATTAGGTTTCAAATTATAGTTTTTCTATGACACCACATTGCTTCTCAGAACTCTCTTTGAAGTTACAGTACCCTCTGATTCATAAAATGTTAACTGCAGCTAATTCTCACTTACCATATGCTAGTCGTTGTGCCAAGTTTTACATACTTTATCTTATTTATCTTTACATCATTCTTTAAGAGATACTATTTTCTTTTCTTCTTCTTTTTTTTTTTACAAATAGTTTATTGTCAAATTGGTTTCCACATAACACCCAGTGCTCATCCCCACAAGTGCCCTCCTCCATGCCCATCCCCCCCCCATCCATCAGTCCTCAGTTTTTGTCAGCATTCAAGAGTCTCTCATGGTTTGCCTCTCTCCCTTTCCCCGACCATTTCCGCCCTTCTTCTCCCCCTTGTTCCTCAGTTAAGTTCCTCCTAATCCTCCTATAGGTACAAACATATGATATTTGTCCTTAAGAGATACTATTTTCTGGTAAGTAACCTGCCTAGTGTTACTCAGCTAATAAGTGGCAGAACCAGAATTAAAAATCAGATCTGTTAGACTCCTCCCAAGTCCTGGCTTTTAACTATGTCATAATTCTACTTTTCAAGGATTATAAGTATGATGTTTTCATTAGACGTTCCAGAATAAAAGCTGAATGGTACTGAATATATGATAAAAGTCCTTGTTTTGTTTCATTAGTTCAAGATTGGCTATCAAGCCTAAGCCAAAAACCAAAACCAAAACCAAAACCAGACCAAACCAAACCAAACCAAAAACACTTTTACCATTATCCAGTGTAATAAGCAAACAAGCACGGTTTGTGTTATTACCTTCGGGAACTTGTATCTTTTTCATGGCTGTCATTGGTAGAAGAAATTTCATCCAGCTGCTCTGGAAGGGGATGATGATTAATAGCATGTTTTGTTATTCCTTTCCTGTGAAAGATTTTTTAAAAAGTTATATTTCCTGTAAAGAAAAGTATATACTTTTCAGCAACTTGACCTACAGGTTAATCACCTACTTCTACTGCTCTGGGACTGTACTGTCCAATATAGTAGCCACTAGCAATTAGCAGTTAAAGTGTGGTTAGTTGGTGTGATGAGCACCACCGGGTGTTGTATGGAAGTACTGAGTCACTGTATTGGACACCTGAAACTAGTGTTAGACTATATCTTAACTGGAATTGTAACAAAAACTTTAAAAATTTAGTTACTCAGAAATGGGATGTGCTTTAAGTTTAAAACACACAGGACTTTGACGGCTTAGTACAACAAGAACGTGTAATGGATCATCAGTAATTTTATCTTGATTACATATTAAAATGATAATATTTTGGATATACTAGATTTTAAAATATATTCTTAAAATTAATTTCACTATAAATTTAAAGTATAAGTTATAACCACATACATATTAGAACAGCTAGAGCAAAATATGGTAATAACACCAAATGGAGGTGAGGATGTATAGAAACCAGGTATCTCATACTCTGCTGGTGGAAATATAAAATTGGTACAGCCACTCTGAAATAGTCTCACAGCTTCTAATAAACCTAAGCACATGCATTTACCATAAGACCTAGCCATCCATGCTTGAGAAATGATCTCAGAGAAATGAAAACTTACATTCACACAAAAATCTGTCTATAAATCTTTACAGCAGTTTTATTTGTAACTGAAAAAAATGGAAAATGAAATGTCCTTTGATGGGTGAATGGTTAAACTTTGATATATCCACACAAGGTATAATACTGAGCAGTAAAAAGGAGTGAACTATTGATACAAGGAACAACTTGGATGGATTTCAAGGGCATCACGCCTGGTGGGAAAAAAAAAATCTCAAAAGGTTACATACTGTATGATTCCATTTATATAACGTTCACAAATGACAAAACTATGAGGTAGAGAAAAGATTAGTGGTTAGCAGGGGATGGAGAAAGGAGTGGAAGTGACTAGAAAGTGGTACACAAGGACATTCCTTGATGGTGATAAAATAGCCATCTTGATTGTACTGGTGGTTACACAGATCTATAAATGAGACCAAATTGTGCAGAACTATATATACACATACACAAAACAGTGGATATAAAAACTCATGTAAAAACTGATTTATAGTCAATAGTATTATACCAATATCACTTTCTTGGCTTTGACACTATACTAGCTACAGAACTTGTCATCACTGGGTGAAGGGTTCATGGGATTTTATGTACTATTTTTGTTACTAACAGTGAGTCTATAATTTATTCAAAATAAAAAGGAAAAATTAATTTTACCCCTTTCTGCTATTCCTTTAATGTGACTACCTGAAAATTAAAAATTACATATGTGGCTTGTATTATATTTCTATTGGACAGTGCTGCTCTAGAGTTCAACATGTATAACAGAATAAACTAAGGGGTCAATTATTTTATGTTCAGTTCTTAATCATCTATAGTAGGTTTTCCTCACCCACAAAATTCTGTAATAAAGTAAGTTTAGGAAACATGATAGACCAAACAAAGTACACAAGCTTCTTTATAAAAGGTCTTCTTAGGGTCTTTAATATGCCAATGTATATTATAAATCTCTAACATTCTTATTTCACAGGAAAGGAAAGTGAAGCACAGACAGATTAAGTAACCTGCTTAAGGTCATATGTCTAGGAAGTGATGGAGCTAGGATTCAAATCCAAGTACTCTGGCTCTGAGGCTTCTCAGAGCAAATGAATAATTTATGAGTTTAGTGAATTGGACCATTTATATATATAAACATAAAGCTAAGGGCCCTGGCAGCAGAGCTTGTATTTTAAATTCATTCTCAAATGGTAGGGATGGACAGATGGTTAAGAGACACATGAAAAGATGCTGAACATCACTCATCATCAGAGAAATACAAATCAAAACCACAGTGAGATACCACCTCACACCTTGTCAGAATGGCTAAAATTAAGAACTCAGGCAACAACAGATGTTGTCAAGGATGCAGAGATAGGGGAACACTTTTGTACTGTTAGTGGAAATGTTAACTGGTGCAGCCACTCTGGAAAACAGTATGGAGGTTCCTCAAAAAACTAAAAATAGGGGCGCCTGGGTGGCTTAGTCGGTTAAGCGTCCGACTTTCGCTTAGGTCATGATCTTGCGGTTTGTGGGTTCGAGCCCCGCGTCTGGTTCTGTGCTGACTGCCAGCTCAGAACCTGGAGCCTATTTCAGAGTCTGTGTCTCCCTCTCTCTCTGACCCTCCCCTGCTCACGCTGTCTCTCTCTCTCCTAGAAATAAATAAAAATATTAAAAAAAAATTAAAAATAGAGCTACCCTACAACCCAGCAACTGCACTGTTAGGTGTTTATCCAAAGGATACAAAAATGCAATGTTTGTAGCACCACTATCAACAATAGCCAAATTATGGAAGATCCCAAATGTCTATCATCTGATGAATGGATAAAGAAGATGTGCTATGGATATACAATAGAATACTACTCGGCGATCAAAAAGAATGAAATCACCATTTGCAACAACATGGATGGAACTAGAACGTATTATGCTAAGTGAAATAAGTCAGAGAGAGACAAATACCATATAATTTCACTCATGTGGAATTTAAGAAACAAAACAGATGAGGGCCACCTGGGTGGCTTAGTCGGTTAAGTGTCCGACTTTCGCTTAGGTCATGATCTCACGGTTCGTGGGTTCGAGCCCCATGTCGGGCTCTGTGCTGACTGCCAGCTCAGAGCCTGGCACCTGTTTGAGTCTGTGACTCCCTCTCTCTCTGACCCTCCCCTGCTCACGCTGTCTCTCTCTCTGTCCTAGAAATAAATTAAAAAAAAAAAGAAACAAAACAGATGAACATAGGAGAAGGGAAGGAAAAAATGAAATAAAAAGAGAGGGAGGCAAACCATAAGACTCTTGTATACAGAGAACAAACTGAGGGTTGCTGGAGGGGTGTTGGGTTGGGGTATGGACTAAATGGGTGAGGAGTATTAAGGAGGGCATTTGTTGGGATGGGCACTGGGTATTATATGTATGTGTGTGTTGCATATATATATATATGTGTGTGTGTGTTGAATCACTGGGTTCTACTCTTGAAACCAATACTACACTGTATGTTAACTAACTTGAATTTAAATAAAAATACTTTTTAAAAAATGGTAGGGATGGATTTGTGCAGAGCTATTTGTACTCCTCTTAGTCAACAATCCTACAACCAAAAATTGTCTTTGAGACAGTGGTAGTTAACAAAAATGTGGATTCCAGCTACCAGATAGATTTAAAAAAATTTTTTTAATAGTTTATTTATTTTTGAGACAGAGACAGAGCATGAGTGGGGGAAGGGCAGAGAGAGGGGGAGACACAGAATCTGAAACAGGCTCCAGGCTCTGAGCTGTCAGCACAGAGCCTGATGTGGGGCTCGAACCCACCAACCGTGAGATCTGACCTGAGCCGAAGTCAGACGCTTAACCGACTGAGCCACCCAGGCGCCCCCCAAATAGATTTTTAAGACATTTTTTTAGTCGGTCAAAGAAATCTCTATAAAATGACTATTAGATAATACCAAAGAAATATTAAATATGATAACATTGTTTTTACATAAGAAAATGCATTTTTAGAGATGCATATGGCAGTATATAGGGGTGAAATGATAGTCTCTGGGGTTTTGGTTCCTTATTTACAGGAAGCAAATAAGGTTTTGGACAGAGAGGCTGAAAAGAGATAAAAAAAGATAGATGAAGCAAATATGTTGATTTTTGATAATTGAGTGTGGGTGATAGGTGGTTCAGTATATCATTCACTATACATTTATGTTTGAAATGTATCACTTTTTAAGTGTTAAAGCTATATGTTGAAAATCACTTTTGTTTCAAACTCTTTTCATTATCTATAATTTGGAACTATTAGTGAGAAAAGTAAAGTTACTTCTTCAAAGCAAATTATCATAATGCCAAAGTAAAAACTGCTTTTATTTTACTGTCATTTAGATACATAAAATCTTCATTATCTTCATTATTCACATCATACTGGCTCTTCTAAAGAATCACCTTTCGAGAGAGTGGTCTTCAGGGAGTATCAAATCAACAACAGAGAACAAGTAACAGAACTATACTGGATCAGTGATTCTGGCCCACTAAGTGCCTATCAGCAACTTTTTTCACAAACTTTTTTTTTTGTTGTTACTTTCAGAATGCTCAGACTTAATTATAAAAGCTGACTTTTAGCTAAGACCTGTTCCCTTTATTGGAAAATGACTTTCTTCTTCCTACTTCCTAAAAAGCTTATTATCTGAATTGCTACTGTGTAGATATCCTATTACTTAGTAGATAATAAGCTTCCGTAAGGCAAGAAGAGATCACAGATTTTCTTGGTATGGCTATTGTAACAAGTGAAGATGGGAAGGGGCAAGAAAATTACCAATTACTGAGGATCTACCCTGTGCCATCATTTTAGATATATTTTAGGTAAGGTGTTAGTCCTATATTACAGAAATGAATGCTCAAATATTTAGTAATCTGCTTAAAAGTCACATGGCTAGAGAAGAGCTTAGGCAGAAACCCAGAGTGACTGAAAATTCCATGCCTATTATTACCATGTATACTTAATATAAAAATTTTAATGTTTATTTTTGAGAAAGAGAGACACAGAGTGTGAGTGGAGGAGGGGCAGGTAGACAGGAAGACAGAATCTGAAGCAGGGTCCAGGCTCTGAGCTGTCAGCACAGAGCCTGATGCAGGGCTGGAACTCACAAAGCACAAGACCATGACCTGAGCCAAAGTCAGACACCTAACCGACTGGGCCACCCAGGTGCCCCTATACTTAATACTTAACTGATAAATGTATGGTTGCTAAAATTACATAGCTCAGTGGAGGAAAAAAGTTGGGATTTGAGGATTAAAAGGTGAAGCTCAAAACCTATTGGTTATATAATCTTAGGATGTGTAGCCATTCTGATATTTCATCTTCTGAAAGACTGAAAGATAATCATACCCATCTTACAGAATTGTTGCAAGGATCAAAATGTGAAAGTCTTTTTGAAAGTGTAAAGCATTAATAAATGTAGAACATTATCATTACTTGCTAAATTACAACACCTCACCAAGAGTGGAAGGTGTTTAAACTGAAATATTTGCTCTCTGAAGCTAAACTTATCCTTAAGGATTCTGATGTTTAATTACAGAAATGGAGAAACAATTTGTAATGATTATAACCAAGGCTTTGGGATTAGATTGACACCAGGTTTGTGTGCGCCACCACTTTCTGGCTGTGTAATCTTTGGCTTGCTACAATTTTTAAAAATCTGAGATCGTTGTCTGTAGAATGTGCAAAATAATATTCTCTATTCTGGTATCCTTGCTAATAGGATTAAGTGAGCTAATGCATGTAACCAGCTCTGCTAGGTGCCTGGCACTAGGTGTATTCAACTTTTTTGTAGCACTTGGTCAGCTATTAGTTACTTCTCGATTCGTCAGTGGCCACTGACAGTGAGGCATGAAGCACTGAGTAAACTACAAATGTAGGAGACCCAGTCCCTGAGTTCAGGAAGAGGACCAATTCCTAGGACAGCACAAGAGACACGCCCTTAGCTGGAGATGGGGGTGGAAGGGGAGGGTCCGACAAGGCTGGGAGGAGACAGTTCCGAAGCAGATGTTCGTCCCTTGCCCTGGGAAAGGAAAAGCTGGAAGCGCTGCTCGGGAAGGGTCCCCAGAGCGCCCGCGGAACCGCCTCAGCCTCCCCCCGCCCGGGCTAGGATGGCTGAGCCGTTCACTCACAACTCCAAGCTCTGTGGCACCGCCTTCCGGGTGTATCTGGAGATCATCCTCCTCCTTCTCCTCAGCCGCGGAGGGGGCGGGCACGCCAGGGTGGGGGCCTCGCGACTTGGCCCTCCCGCCGGCTCCGGCCCGGCCCCCTCCCGCCACCTTCCGGCCCCGTCACGCCCCGTCGCCTAGACTCCGGACCGCCGCCTCTCCAGGGTCCCCACCCCTCTAGTCCTCCGCCCTCCCTGCGTCCCCGCGGGGCGGAAGTGACGAATGCACCTGGGCACCCACCCAATGTTCCCGCGGACGCACGGCAGTGACGCTGCCGGGAGTTCCGGGGCGAGCGGGTGTTTGACGGCGTCCGCTAGCCTCGAGTGCCCGAGAGGCGGCTGGCCTGACCCTGGGCCGGGCTTGCGCTGCTACTGACGCGGGAGGAGGGGCGGTCGAGGAGAGGTGCCGCCGCGGAGACGCGTGGGGGAGGCCCGAGAATCGTAAGCGGAATCGGCTTCGTTTTGTCGGATGGAGGAAGAAAGCTTATTCTGAGTAAAGAGCACTAGACTCCAGCTCAGCCCTCTGCAGCTTGGTCTCTTCTCTTTCTGTGCTCCGGTTTTCTCACCTGTACAGCAAGGCGTTAGCTTGAGTGATCTCAAAGTTCCTTACAGTTCTGACACTAAGTTCTTCATTAAAATGTGTAGTTGGCATTATGGGGTGGGTCGACAGAATTACCTGTCCTTCTGGATCAAGAAGCCAAATGATGATTTGGATAGACTGCGGTGACTGTCTGGATGAAGGTTCCTCTCGACCGCGTTTCATTAGAAAACCCAATAAGGATAAAAGTCGAACAGTGCCTTACAGTGGACCATCCAGTACAGTGCCTGTCTTTACCAAGCCTCATCTGGCAGCAATAGTAAGCTAGCACTTTTGTTTTAAGGAAAAGCCCTAGAAATTAAGGAGGTGTCTTATCTATCTCCTCTTAATGTACCGGAGCTGTACCCCCTGAGACCTGAATAGGGAAGAGTTTTAGGACAGTTGTAGGATCAAGAACCATGGGCAAATTATTTTGGGGTGAGATGATAGGCCATGAATGTTTTGTATTTCCCTATGCGTACAATATTCATAAGAAAAGAGACTGCAATTCTGCAGCATAAGGGAGATTGCTCTTAAGAGCTTTTAAATAATAGCGGTTTAAGCTGGGGGGGATGTTAGTAATGAAAGAGTAACATTCTCATTCTACAGTTAAGGAAAAAGCCCCAGAAAGAAAGTGACATGCCCAAAGTGACATTAGTGGCAGAACTGGAACTAATTAGTGGCAGAACTGGAACTTTTGATAGTATTGAAACATAAAATGTTATTACAGTATATCTCAAAGTGTGCTACACACACTACTGCTAGTACAAGGGCAAACATTTTTTTTTAATTTTTAATGTTTTATTTATTTCTGAGAGAGAGAGAGACAGCGCGAGCAGGGGAGGATCAGAGAGAGAGGGAGTATACAGAATCCGAAACAGGCTCCAGGCTCTGAGCTAGCTGTCAGCAGAGCCCGATGTGGGGCTCAACTCCATGAACCATGAGATCATGACCTGAGCCAAAGTCAGTCGCTCAACCAACTGAGCCACCCTGGTGCCCTGAGGGCAAACATTTTTTTAAAAAAATTCTTACACGCCTGTTTGGGAATGTGATACTGGATTTCCATTTACTGTATTATATCAGGAGTTACTTTAATAAAATTTCAAGTATGAAGAACATAATTTTTAGTATAAAAACCTCATTAAAAGAATATTAAATAGGTGTTACTATTAATACTTGATTAAGTCAAAAAGTTAAAATGATAGTATGTGGATAACTGAATTTTGGAAAACAATGGAATTATCTAGACTAGTTCAGGAATTTGGATATTCTACATTATTCTATACGGTTTATATTATTGAAAATTTAATTGTAGTTTTCAAAGAATGGAGGAAAATATAAAGCTTGCTACAGTGGAAGACGCTGTGCAATATCACCTATTCCTGATACCAGATGAACCAAGGGACCCAGAAGAACACAAAGAGATTCTTCAAAAGTATATTGAGAGGATAATGACCCACTTTGCACCCCTGCTGGTCCCCTATATCTGGCAGAATCAGCCTTTCAATCTCAAATACAAACCTAGAAAAGGTATGGCTCTTTTACTTATTTAATTTGATACATGTGAGTTTTAATTCTGACAACAGTGATATATAATAGTTCATTCAGTGTTGTCAGGAGATTTATAACCTTAATTTTTAAAATTAGTGATGCCTGCCTATATTTGGTTAAGCCTTTAAACTAACCAAAATAAATTTTTTAAAATTCATTTGATGAAAGCTTTCTAATAGTAATTACCTTAGGAACTAATACATACTCAACATTATTAAACAGTGGTTATTCTTTGGAACTTTAATTAGTTTTCTATGTTATACTATATCTAGGTACCTGTACTAAATGGGTTCAGGCATCTGCTTCCTTAACCATAGCTTCCTTTAGTAGTTAGTCTCTATTCCTCATTCTTGATCATGGGTTTAGTAGGCTGCCTTTTTTTCACACAACTGGCTCTACCTGGCTTATAAAGAGCAATAATTGGGTTTATGACCATTATTTGCCTCTCAGAAGCATTTTGAGGTTCCTTCATGCTTCATGCTTCCTTGTGTTGTTGGTACTTAAGATCTGACCTCTGGGCAAATATAGTACTTTTTCTTATTTCATATAGCTTTAGTAAAATGACTCCTGAATAGTTGATCAAGGCTCTACTCTAGTGTCTTATTTCAGATCAGGAGTCTGGCATCTTTTGATACTGTCAATCTGGGCCTCAATTTAGTGTTCTATTATCTTTTGGTTAGCAGTTGCCAAATGTCTTCCCTGGTGTTCATTTTATTGAACCCCTGTTCACTGAAACACATGTGATATTTATTGGCAAGAACACTGTCACTTTGGCACAGCACATCCAAAACCAAGTCCTTATCTTTTTCCTAGAAAATCCTTTTTACCCAATGTTTTCTTGTTTTCCTTAATGGCTTTGCTATCCACCTAGTTTTTCAAGCTTGTTAGTAATTCAAAACTGTACTCAGCTTTTCACTTCACCATGTTGTCAGGCATTAAATCCTACGTTGTTACTCCTAAAATATGACCTCTTCCTACATTTGCTTAGCTGCAATCTAGACCCTCTTAATCTCTTCATCTGGAAGACTCCAGTAGCCACCTAACTAACCTCTCTGGTTCCAGTATCCAGTTCTTCACACTGTTGTCAGTTACCCTTGTAAAACACAAATTTGATTATGTCACTTTTCTGCCTAACATCCTTCACCAGTTCCCCATTGCTTCTGGACGAAGTTAAAATTGATGTGTAATATATAAAGTAGATAAAAATAGACACTCTAATTGGAGCTTCTCTAGTAGAAGAAATTGAGAGATCTGGGATGAGATGAAGAGTTAGTTGGGCTATTCTTCCCACCTGTTGTTGTTTTTTTTATTGTTTTTGCCACTGCAGCTCTAAAAACCCTCTATAATGTGCTTGTTTGACCCTTAGTCTGTTAATGTGGTAGCTTACATCAATTGATTTTCATATGCATTCCATTCCATTCCAGGAATAAATTCCACTTGGTCATGGTGTACAATCCTTTTAATGTGTTGAATCAGTTTGCTAGTGTTTTATTGAGGATTTCTTCATCAGTATTCCAGGGAAATTGGTCATAGTTTTCCTGTATTGTCTTTGTTTGGCTTTATTATGAGGGTAATGCTATCCTCATAAAATGAGTTTGGCAGTGTTCCCTCCTCTTCAATTGTTTCTAAGAATTTGAGGAAGATTGATGTTAGTTCTTCTCTAAATGTTGGTAGAATTCTCCAGTGAGCTTTTCTCTATTGGAAAGTTTTTTTATTACTGATTCAGTCTCTTTCTAGTGACGAGAAGTAATTCGGTCTCCTTCTGGTCTCCTAGTGATCCAGTCTCAATATGTTGTGTGTTTCTAAGAATGAACTCATTTCTTCTAGGTTATCCAGTTAGTTGGTGTACAAGTGTTCATAGTGTTCCCTTATAGTCCATTTTATTTCTGTAGTATAGGCTTTTTTTTTTTTTAATGTTTTATTTATTTCTAGGAGAGAGAGAGAGACAGCGTGAGCAGGGGAGGGTCAGAGAGAGAGGGAGTCACAGACTGAAACAGGCTCCAGGCTCTGAGCTGGCAGT